TATGTATAAATGTTTATCTGACATGTGATATATTCATTTTCATCCCGTGGCACGTAGCTGAACTACTGGCTGGAGACTCTGGATGAAATGGAGAAGATGCAGAGTAGGAAACAGGTGTCTAAGGTGTGTGTAAGTGACGGCAACTCCACGAAGTAGTTCTGCTGTTTGGTCGTATAGATAGTAATTGGAAACATCTGCGTGTTGTGTGTAGCTCTGTGGCACACGAACGGTTGCGTACTCGGCGTGTGCTGGCATGTGCTCGTGAAGTACTATGGGGAAAACATTCGTGAATGCATATGTAGTACTTCCTTCATACACAGTAGTAATCACATTTGTATATGCACGTGTGTACTTAGTACTATAAAGTAGTCACATTTGTTTATGCACGTGTGTACTTAGTACTATACAGTAGTCACATTTGTATATGCATTTGTGTACTTAATACTACACAGTAGTCACATTTGAGTATTTTTAAATACGGTGAGATTGGTTCGTATATCTCTTTTCATCTTTCAATTTATTGTCCGTGTTTTGATGTCTTTTTTCTTTCTGTGCAGTTGCATCAGTTTGTGTGGCGCTCGTGTTCCTTGCAAATTTTCGGCGTCGGTTTCGAATAGCACCATAGACACAGACGTGTGTATGTACGTATGTCCGTATATATATATATATATATATATATAATAGATGTCTGTATATATGTATGTATGTACGTAGGTATATATGTATGATATACAAATGTATGTACGCATACATCAGTAACACTGCTTCCCACATCACATTCGCGCTCAAGCAAGGGCTGATGGCGAGTGGAGCTGATTTAGAGACCTCCAAAGTGGATAAGGATATAGGACTGGTGGAGAGCAAGATGGCCGCGGTATGACAAGTCAAACTCAACGTTTATTTCAGTCGACATGCCCAGCAGGCCAGTACCCATAGGCACTTGATGTAGTAACCGTTTATATGTATGCGTTTGTGGCTTTTCAACCATGGGGGATCCTCCGTTACGTATGTGTGTGCATGAGATAGTCCCGTATGTGTACTCGTGTCTGGATGTCACAGATGTTAGGCGCATGCCCAAGTCATTTTAGTTTCTTCATTGCTGCCTTCTCGGATGCCTATAATTTAGGGTTTAGGGTTTCGCCTGTTGCATACACAACAGGTTGGCTCGGTGTATGTCTTATTGGGGTGTGTGTCCCTATTACACACTCAATCGCCCGTCATCTGGTTCGCTACTCATCTGCCAGGCGTATCAAGAACTCAACGTGACCCAGTCACTTGTCGACAAGATCAGTGAAGCGTACTGGGGCGAGATCATGTCGTTCGATTATCTGAAAGACCAGGACCTCAGGAGCATCCACGTGTCTCGCATTCATGGTATGTCAGTACAATCCATTCATGGTGTGTAGGTACAATCCATTCACGGTGTGTAGGTACATCCCATTCATGGTATGTAGGTACAATCCATTCATGGTATGTAGGTACAATCCATTCATGGTATGTAGGCACAATTCATTCATGGTGTGTAGGTACAATCCATTCATGGAATGTAGGTACAATCCATTCATGGTAGGTAGGTACAATCCATTCATGGTTTGTAGGTACAATCCATTCATGGTATGTAGGTACAATCCATTCATGGTATGTAGGTACAATCCATTCATGGTGTGTAGGTACAATCCATTCATGGTATGTAGGTACAATCCATTCATGGTGTGTTGGTATAATCCATTCATGGTATGTAGATACAATCCATGCATGGTATGTAGGTACAATCCTCAACAGCGGTACCGCACACCTACACAGTACTGCGGTCCTATACACGTGTTGTGAGGGTTATGTGCCGCTGTGCGTGTGTAAGTGCTTGTGAAGTATTAACGGGATCTAACTGGTTGACGTTGGTGTACCAGTAAGAACGTGTATAGACGTAGTCGCCGTACGTCGATGAGGCACTGGTTTGAGCTTCACAGAGACATTCACATGCATGTACACATGTATGTAAGTTATGGGTGTGTATGTACATATATGAGACATTCACATGCATGTACATATGTATGTGAGTTATGGGTGTGTATGTACATATATGAGACATTCACATGCATGTATACACACCTGTGAGTTCTATTTATTTATATACCCATAGGAGGCATTCGCATGCATGTGCACACACATGTGGTTTCTGGGTAGGAGTGTCGTTAACCTACACACTGACACTGTCCTGTTCTCATGGCAGCCTGGGCAGAAACGTATGACGGCACTTTAGGCGCACTCACGACCGCAATGAAGACACTGCAGACACCGGTCAGCAGGGAACACCGCAGCATCCAATAGACCGCATGAATGAGTAGGTAATAAAGACTAGCATCAGCAGATAGATGAAAGACAGCATGAATGAGTAGGTAATAAAGACTAGCATCAGCAGATAGATGAAAGACAGCACGAATGAGTAGGTAATAAAGACTACCATCAGCATATAGATGAAAGACAGCATGAATGAGTAGGTAATAAAGACTAGCATTAGCAGATAAATAAAAGACAGCTTGAATGAGTAGTTAATAAAGATTAGCATTAGCAGATAAATGAAAGACAGCCACAGGGCAATATAAAGTGTAAACCCTATACCCTAAACTGTCACTGCGCTTTGTGCTGTGAGCTTCTGAAGATGTCGGCAAGTGTGGTAGTGAGGGGTTGTGACCAGTGGAGGATATGGCGCCAGCTTCTGCTTTTATGTTCAAGATTAGTGGGTTCGTTTATATGGGTTTTGCTCTTTCTTGATAAGTATGCGATTCATTGGTTTTATGTTTATGTATTTTACTTCTTCTTGATATTTTCAAGATTAATGTTTTAATGTTTATGATTTTTGTTTCGTCTTGATACCTTCACGATTAAATGGTTCATGTTTTATGTTTTTAGCTTCTTGGCCACGCTATTTTGATTGTTATTCTTCTTATTTGCTTTCCTCTTCTTATTCTTTTTTGAATTCTTATGTCCGGTTTTGAGCTGGTACAGTTTTCCCTGAATACATAGAAGGTAAGATTCCAAAATAAGTCACACCTCGTTTACGCAAATATAATACCATACTCACAAGCAGCGTCCCAAACCCAACCGATCCGTTCCCCTACACATTAAGTGTACCTTGCAACACAAACCTTTCTGCCATCTCAACACTCGACACAACGTACTGGGGCATAGAACCACCTTTGAGTGTACCTTGCAACACAAACCCATCTGCCATCTCAATACTCGACACAACATACTGGAGCATAGAACCACCCTTGAGTGTACCTTGCAACACAAACTTATCTGCCATCTCAACACTCGACACAACTTACTGAAGCATAGAACCACCCGAAAATACTGAATCGAGGTGTTTTGGCCTTAGCAGTCACTGCCGTCACTTCGTGTAGACGTGGCACGTGAAACGCTGCGAGTGAGTTGAACTGCGGCACGTGTTCTTCGTGTGTCACGTGGTCTATCAGTACACCGCCCATGTCTTGTTTCCAGTTCTTACAGAGATAGTATATCACGGCAATGTCCCGGGAACACTGCTGTACGCTCTCTGATGCATAGGCGATTGCAAGCGAGTGAGATGAGCTGAGGGATGACGGGGTATATCAGTATAACGAGGAAGGATGGAAACCGAAAGAGATACAACATAAATCGAAAGGGATATATAAGTAGAAAGTGATATAATATAATTTGAAAGAGAAATAATATACTTCGAAAAAGGAATAATATGAATCAAAACAGAAATAATATGAATCGAAAGAGATACAATACGACTACAACATAAATATTATAAAGTGAGTCAGTTTGCAATTCATGCAACTATCGCTCGACGGATCGACAAAAGAAACATTGGCAGGTCAGTATCTTCACAATATGACTGAAACGTAGAGGGAAAACGCGTACAAAGAAGTTTATGAAACAAAATAGAAAACAAACGTGTAGAGGCCACAAACACGTTCATACATACATAGGTACCTAAACCAATAAATAGATCGATAAATAAATAAGTAGATTAATGAACTTTATACACACACACACATACACACATACATATATATAAACATATATACATGTATATATATATGTAATATATATATATATATATATATATATTATATATATATATATATGTACCATTCTGAGTCGGAGA